GGGGCCTGCCGGCCAGTGACGAAAACAGAAGCGGGGCCTGCCGGCCAAATACAGGCAGGTGAGGGCGGGGCGGGGCGGGGCCCTGCCGCTGGAGCCCGCCGCCAAAGTTCCAGTGGGGAGGGCAGCTGCTCTATCTGCCCAGGGCCCCTCTCGGGCCTGAGCCGCCAGCCAGGTGCCCCCAGCGCCCTACCTTGACATTTCAGCTGAGCCCCAATGGGGGCCAGGAGGACACACGTATGAAGAACGTGCCAGTGCCCGTGTACTGCCGCCCCCTGGTGGAGAAGGACCCGACCATGAAGGTGAGCTCACCTGTGGGTGGGCTGGGAGGGACACGGGCCCTGCCGCGCCCCCCCCCCCCAGTCTCAGGAGCAGGACCTCTGTGGCAGCTGAAGCTCACCGCTGCAGCTGTGAGCTGTGCACTTCCCAGACGGTGATGGTGGGCTTTGTGCCGGGTACCCGAGAGCCGGTGCCCGCTCTGGTATTCCTACGGCTGGAGCTAAGCGCCTGTCCTTGCAGCTGTGGTGCGCTGCAGGCGTCAACCTGTGCGGCTGGAGGCCAAACGAGGAGGATCCAGGCAACGGGATCAAGCCAGTGCCTGGCCGCGACCCCCTGACCTGCGACCGTGAGGTGGAAGGAGAGACTAACAGCAGCCACACGTCTCCGGAGAAGAAAAAGGTCAGAGCGGTCCCAGGCAGCAGGCCTGTCTCCATTGCTGTCTATGCCGCTGCCACCAAGGGCCCAGGCTCAGCACGAGCAGCCACAGGCAGCGGCAGTGAACAGGGCGGTCTGAGCTGCCTGCTGGGGTCCTGGAGGAGGGGCGCATCTCCCCTCAGGCGGAGTGATGCGTAGGAGGCGGGGCCGCTGGGGGCAGCGACCAGCCTGACAGAAGCAGGGCAGGAGGGACTGGGCAGGCATCCGCAGAGAACTCCTGGGGCTGGAGGTCAGAGGCCTGGGTTTGCATTCCAGCTTGACACAGGGTAAAGAGGGAGCCTTCTCGTGGAATGAGCTGCGTGTGACATGCGTTCCAAGTCCTCATCGTCCTGGCTGGCAGGACGGGAGCTGTGTCTCCTGGGCTGTGGTCAGGACTGCCCGCGTGAGCCCACACTGTGTCCCTTGTCCCCACAGGCAAAAGAACTGCATGACATGGACGCCACCTCCAGCCGCGTCTGGATTCTCACCAGCACGCTGACCACCAGCAAGGTGGTGATCATCGATGCCAACCAGCCGGGCACCGTGGTGGACCAGTTCACCGTCTGCAACGCTCACGTGCTGTGCATCTCCAGCATCCCTGGTGAGCCCCACAGTGCCCGGCACGCTGAGGGTGGGAGGGGCTAGCACACAGACTAGAGCCATGCCGGTGCCTGCCTGACACCCTGCGGGAAGGAGCAGACAGTGAGGTAGCTGGCCGTGTCCCATTAATTGTCAGAACACTTGTGAAAGTCACGGATGAAGCCACAGGTGGGAGCGGCCAGTCCAGATGGGCTTATTCTGTGTGTGAGTGGGGCCACAGGGTCAGGCCTACAGCCACGGCTCAGTGCAAGGTGATGGCATGGTCTCTCCTTCCCAGCGGCCAGTGACAGCGATTACCCGCCAGGCGAGATCTTCCTGGACGCTGACATGAACCCCGAGGAGCCTGGCGCTGATGGGGTGCTGGCTGGCATCACACTTGTGGGCTGTGCCACCCGCTGCAACGTACCCCGCAGCAACTGCTCCTCCCGAGGGGACACTCCAGTGCTGGACAAGGGGCAGGGTGAGGCCCAGTACCCCCACATCCCACCCCGCACCGGCCCACCCACCCAGCTCAGGCTCACTGCTCCCATCCACAGGAGAGGTGGCTGCTGTTGGCAACGGGCAGTCCACAGAGGAGGCCACGGAAGCTACCGAGGTGCCCGAGCCCGGACCCAGCGAGCCCGAGGCAGCCGCGGTGCGGCCTGGGCCCCTCACGGAACACGTCTTCACTGACCCGGCCCCCACACCACCCCCCAGCACTCGGCCTGACAGGTGGGTTGCTTGCGCTGGAAGGGGGAGGGGACACGCAGCTCCCCAAGGTGGTCTGCACTTGGAGGTGAGCAGGGCGTGCTCTGCAGGGTTCTAAGACTGCAAGTAGAGTGGACCCTTCCGAGGCTGGCTCTGCCTGGTGGGTTGGGATCACAGGGATTCAGCCTCTGGGCTGCCCTGGAGCTGGCTCCTTCTTGCAGTGAGGATGGGGCTGAAGCCCAGATCAGCGGAGCGGAGCCAGAGCCCGAGCCCAGCGTGGATCCTGCCGGGGCCAGCAGCAGTGCTGGGCCTACCATGTGGCTGGGAGCCCAGAATGGCTGGTAAGGGTGTGCCTCAGGGCCTGCTAGGCGCTGCTGGGGGTGGCAGAGGTCAGGCCTCACATCTTTCTCTGGCTGCAGGCTGTACGTGCACTCGGCCCTGGCTAACTGGAAGAAGTGCCTGCATTCCATTAAGCTGAAGGACTCCGTGCTGAGCCTAGTGTATGCGTCTCCCACAGGGTGGGCGGGAGGACCCAAGCAGCCATGCCGCTCCCCGCCGCCTAAGTCTGTGCACCCCTTGCAGGCACGTGAAAGGCCGCGTGCTGGTGGCCCTGGCCGATGGGACCCTGGCTGTCTTCCACCGCGGAGAAGGTGAGGCCTGATGATAGGGAGGAAGAGCCGGTGTCCCGGTCCTCTGCCCCAGGGGCCAGGCCTGAGCTGTGTGTCCTGGGCCCCCCAGATGGCCAGTGGGACCTCAGCAACTACCACCTGATGGACCTGGGCCACCCCCACCACTCCATCCGCTGCATGGCTGTCGTGTACGACCGCGTCTGGTGCGGCTACAAGAACAAGGTGCATGTCATCCAGCCCAAAACCATGCAGATCGAGGCAAGTGGTGGGCCACGAGGGGCGGGCCGCGGGGCAGAGCGAG